AACTCTGAACGTATCATGAATAAAGTACGCGTCCTACAAACATACTATACATTATTAGCGCCTATGTTTTAAATGATTGTTTAGAATTTAGATATCGCGGTGTACACGTATATTACTAATAAAAATAAATTTGTATCAGTATAGGGAGCCATGTATGCATTCTGTACCCATTTTCATAAATTGTATTGCTAGCATAACACTTCTAGATGGATTAAATGTATGTATTTCAAACTTTCAGGAGATAATGATGTCATTTTTCTCTTAAACTTGAAATTATTAAAGTTTTATACCCAGCGGTTTCTATACTAACTCAGGTAAGTAAATTTTTTCCAAGTACATTAAGTAATGATGCTCCTTTGGATTAAACCAAAGATACTTGGTTGTTTCATAAACTGACTTTTTATTCTTTTACAATATACAGCTCATTGTAGAATGAACAATCTAATACGACTTATTAAAAAGTTTGTTACCATAGTAAAGTGGTGTTATACAATCAATCCATTGTTTGGTATACGTAAAACATGTATTATTTTAACAATTACCAATAAAGAACAGCAAACAAATTCATTATTCTAAAGTACATACTGATGATGATGTTCAGAGAAACAATGAAAGCTTCACAACTAAACTATCCAGTTCAGAGAACACAACAGCTCCAAAATCTCATTGAACTACAAATATTATAATTTCTTTAAGAACTGATGTTTTCGAGTAATTGTAAAACGATGAGACACAGTTGTCAGCTGTTTCACTTATCAATTATGTCCAAACAGGAGAATCACATGGAGTTGAATACCGAGTCACTATGTATTACAGGAAGCATGATACTTTAGACACTACAATCGGAATCCGACCAGTATTTTTCTTCAGTTTCAGTCAATTTATTGTATAGGGCAATTTTTATTCACTATCATATCAGTAAACTAACGCTTTGTTCGCAACTTCTTGGACTCCATTTGGTAACAACTTCACACTAGTAGTTTTGGGGAATTAATTTTGATGATAATTTATAGTGACCACACAATCATCACCTACATTGCCAAATTTATATTACTTTAAAAAAGAATAAATTTACTTAGTTTAGTAGCAAATTTATTCACTGTTGATAATTCACACAGGTAACATATATACTTACCACCAAAAATCTAGATAAGTTATGTGGTCCATTACTGACTAGTTAAATTAGTAATATTACTTTTTCATTTAGAAAATAAGCTAGTATGGTTGTTAGCACTAGCTAGCAATATAAATGGCTATCTAAACATGCAATCAAAATGCTTTACAATTGTCCACTTGAGTATAAGTCAATCTAACAACGTATATTGCTGATTTTTAATTTTGAGAAAATATTAAGGAGCTTACAACTCAAATCACGTAAAAATAATCACACCCACTACAGATGTTCCCCATCACCCGAAATTAATAACCGTACTCCTATTACCACGTTTATTTCAAAACGGTGTTCTATAATCACTAATAATTGAATTTAATCAGTTCATTTATCACCAACTGAAAACAATTTATACATGCCACATTTGATTGGTTATGTGGTGAGTTGAAAGCTTGTTCTGTTCCCATAGGAAATTGAACTTAGATGACTGTTTTTTTACCAGTAAAATTACATAAATTTATCGATAAGCTGGATTAATCAGACGCATCAGTTTAGGGTCAAACGATTAGTAAGAGCTGCTGGTGAGCACAAGCTTTCGGTCGAAATTTGGCTCGATTTTCAGAAGAAAGCAGATATACATTAGTAGTCGAAAAACTGGCTTAAGCTTCTATGGAACACATCGAAATGAATGAATGAAGTTATGCTAACACTTGATGAAGCACTGGTTTAGTGAATAGGTCGTTCAACCTCCAACCACTAAGTTCCAGCCCCACCTATTTCGGTTTGAGCAACGAAGTACAATGACTACTCCTCATAATTGAAGCGTGGTTCATACCCACGTATATAGAGGATGAGTTGATTTAAAGATCTATACAGTTGATTCATTTAGCCAATAAAAGCTTCCTACATACAGTCGGTTCCCTTACACGAGTAACAGATTGATACCGTATACAAGAAGCGTGTATCTGAGCATCGGACAACGACGACCCGCAATACAACATGCACAAAAGTATAATTGTAAAACTTATATACAACCAGTTTCTATAAGAAAGAAAGCTGATCAAACATTTCAAAACTAATTGATTTGATAGTTTGAATACATAATGGATAGAGAACAATTGAAACATCAAGTAATTCTATTATGATGAAAATTTGTGTAGCTTAAAAAAATTAAAAATTTAACAGTGTTGTATCATTAAACTTTGGAGAACACAACTAAGGTTACCAAAATTAATTGCGTTGAAAAGAGAGGAAAAATTGGGCAATATAAAAGAAAATAAAAAAATTGAATAAGCTTTTCAATTATTTGATATGTCCCAAGTGATTGTTTTAATATCCATAAATTCATGTAAAGCATTTGGTCCACCTTCACGCCCAATCCCGGAGTTTTTTACTCCACCAAATGGTAATTCAATAGTACTTATAAATCCTGTATTTAAACCAACCATTCCAACTTGTAATTCATCTGCAATTCGCCAAGCTTGATTAATATTCTCAGTGTAAATGTAACCAGCTAAGCCATATGGTGTTGCATTAGCTAATTCAATCAATTCTTCCTCATTTTTGAATCTGAATGTTATGAGGAAGAGAGATAAGTAAAAATGTAGTAGTCAGTAAACATACAAGTTCTAACATAATATGTACTCAGTCGATAAACTAATTGATCGTTCGACATGTCACACTGTCTAGTCCTTAGATGTGTTCGAATTAAAAATTAGTCACTAAGTGATTCAACTTAGAGGTCGACTATTTTTGAAGATACGTATTCGAAGGTAAATGGAATAAAATCTCTGAAATTAAGTTTCCATGCTAAGTAGGACTGAAGAAATGGAAGATCTCCTTAGAATTGGTTTTTATATCCCAGTGGAAATATAAATTCTCTTAAGATTGTATATGCATCCTTCTTGATTCGTTAAGTTGACTGGTTGTTTATTCGAGAAAATATGAGCCACACAGTATAGTACTGTGTGGTCTAGAGTTGAGGCGTTCGCGCGCGAGACCGAGGGAACTGGGTTCGAATCTGTTGTGGTGATCCAGAAAATTTCTCGCAAAAGACAAGCAAGGATCAGGAAACACTAAGAAGCAGTTATTAGTTTCATATTCATTAAACTTTGACAGTGAATTTTGTTAGTGCATCATCGCAATACATTGTTAAAATTGTATCATTACTGATAATAATAATCGTAACATGACTGATGAAATATCGCAACCTGAAAACTGGACTATCTTTTGGTATAAAAAAACAAAGACAACTTTCATTAGATTTATGAATAAATGGCAATATCGTGATTGTTCTTTGCAAACAATATAAAGTTTAGTCAATCCAATCAGATCTTTTTCGAAAACTCTGAACGTATCATGAATAAAGTACGCGTCCTACAAACATACTATACATTATTAGCGCCTATGTTTTAAATGATTGTTTAGAATTTAGATATCGCGGTGTACACGTATATTACTAATAAAAATAAATTTGTATCAGTATAGGGAGCCATGTATGCATTCTGTACCCATTTTCATAAATTGTATTGCTAGCATAACACTTCTAGATGGATTAAATGTATGTATTTCAAACTTTCAGGAGATAATGATGTCATTTTTCTCTTAAACTTGAAATTATTAAAGTTTTATACCCAGCGGTTTCTATACTAACTCAGGTAAGTAAATTTTTTCCAAGTACATTAAGTAATGATGCTCCTTTGGATTAAACCAAAGATACTTGGTTGTTTCATAAACTGACTTTTTATTCTTTTACAATATACAGCTCATTGTAGAATGAACAATCTAATACGACTTATTAAAAAGTTTGTTACCATAGTAAAGTGGTGTTATACAATCAATCCATTGTTTGGTATACGTAAAACATGTATTATTTTAACAATTACCAATAAAGAACAGCAAACAAATTCATTATTCTAAAGTACATACTGATGATGATGTTCAGAGAAACAATGAAAGCTTCACAACTAAACTATCCAGTTCAGAGAACACAACAGCTCCAAAATCTCATTGAACTACAAATATTATAATTTCTTTAAGAACTGATGTTTTCGAGTAATTGTAAAACGATGAGACACAGTTGTCAGCTGTTTCACTTATCAATTATGTCCAAACAGGAGAATCACATGGAGTTGAATACCGAGTCACTATGTATTACAGGAAGCATGATACTTTAGACACTACAATCGGAATCCGACCAGTATTTTTCTTCAGTTTCAGTCAATTTATTGTATAGGGCAATTTTTATTCACTATCATATCAGTAAACTAACGCTTTGTTCGCAACTTCTTGGACTCCATTTGGTAACAACTTCACACTAGTAGTTTTGGGGAATTAATTTTGATGATAATTTATAGTGACCACACAATCATCACCTACATTGCCAAATTTATATTACTTTAAAAAAGAATAAATTTACTTAGTTTAGTAGCAAATTTATTCACTGTTGATAATTCACACAGGTAACATATATACTTACCACCAAAAATCTAGATAAGTTATGTGGTCCATTACTGACTAGTTAAATTAGTAATATTACTTTTTCATTTAAAAAATAAGCTAGTATGGTTGTTAGCACTAGCTAGCAATATAAATGGCTATCTAAACATGCAATCAAAATGCTTTACAATTGTCCACTTGAGTATAAGTCAATCTAACAACGTATATTGCTGATTTTTAATTTTGAGAAAATATTAAGGAGCTTACAACTCAAATCACGTAAAAATAATCACACCCACTACAGATGTTCCCCATCACCCGAAATTAATAACCGTACTCCTATTACCACGTTTATTTCAAAACGGTGTTCTATAATCACTAATAATTGAATTTAATCAGTTCATTTATCACCAACTGAAAACAATTTATACATGCCACATTTGATTGGTTATGTGGTGAGTTGAAAGCTTGTTCTGTTCCCATAGGAAATTGAACTTAGATGACTGTTTTTTTACCAGTAAAATTACATAAATTTATCGATAAGCTGGATTAATCAGACGCATCAGTTTAGGGTCAAACGATTAGTAAGAGCTGCTGGTGAGCACAAGCTTTCGGTCGAAATTTGGCTCGATTTTCAGAAGAAAGCAGATATACATTAGTAGTCGAAAAACTGGCTTAAGCTTCTATGGAACACATCGAAATGAATGAATGAAGTTATGCTAACACTTGATGAAGCACTGGTTTAGTGAATAGGTCGTTCAACCTCCAACCACTAAGTTCCAGCCCCACCTATTTCGGTTTGAGCAACGAAGTACAATGACTACTCCTCATAATTGAAGCGTGGTTCATACCCACGTATATAGAGGATGAGTTGATTTAAAGATCTATACAGTTGATTCATTTAGCCAATAAAAGCTTCCTACATACAGTCGGTTCCCTTACACGAGTAACAGATTGATACCGTATACAAGAAGCGTGTATCTGAGCATCGGACAACGACGACCCGCAATACAACATGCACAAAAGTATAATTGTAAAACTTATATACAACCAGTTTCTATAAGAAAGAAAGCTGATCAAACATTTCAAAACTAATTGATTTGATAGTTTGAATACATAATGGATAGAGAACAATTGAAACATCAAGTAATTCTATTATGATGAAAATTTGTGTAGCTTAAAAAAATTAAAAATTTAACAGTGTTGTATCATTAAACTTTGGAGAACACAACTAAGGTTACCAAAATTAATTGCGTTGAAAAGAGAGGAAAAATTGGGCAATATAAAAGAAAATAAAAAAATTGAATAAGCTTTTCAATTATTTGATATGTCCCAAGTGATTGTTTTAATATCCATAAATTCATGTAAAGCATTTGGTCCACCTTCACGCCCAATCCCGGAGTTTTTTACTCCACCAAATGGTAATTCAATAGTACTTATAAATCCTGTATTTAAACCAACCATTCCAACTTGTAATTCATCTGCAATTCGCCAAGCTTGATTAATATTCTCAGTGTAAATGTAACCAGCTAAGCCATATGGTGTTGCATTAGCTAATTCAATCAATTCTTCCTCATTTTTGAATCTGAATGTTATGAGGAAGAGAGATAAGTAAAAATGTAGTAGTCAGTAAACATACAAGTTCTAACATAATATGTACTCAGTCGATAAACTAATTGATCGTTCGACATGTCACACTGTCTAGTCCTTAGATGTGTTCGAATTAAAAATTAGTCACTAAGTGATTCAACTTAGAGGTCGACTATTTTTGAAGATACGTATTCGAAGGTAAATGGAATAAAATCTCTGAAATTAAGTTTCCATGCTAAGTAGGACTGAAGAAATGGAAGATCTCCTTAGAATTGGTTTTTATATCCCAGTGGAAATATAAATTCTCTTAAGATTGTATATGCATCCTTCTTGATTCGTTAAGTTGACTGGTTGTTTATTCGAGAAAATATGAGCCACACAGTATAGTACTCTTGATTTTCAACTCAACCTAATTTCTGTAACTCACCTAGCTTGTTCTGACGCGTACTGTGGGGTATAAGTCAGTCAGTCTAACGTCGAACCTAGTAGGTATGTACATCAGTTCAAGTTGCCATACCCCATTCACAAAGAGAAATGAAATTGTCAGGCCAAATCCTAGAATGGCAGAGGCAGTAACAGTATTAGTGGTAATAGGAGAGATTAGGCATTGAAGATATGATTCAAGAAAATATAAATTAGAGAAATAAAAACAAAAAGAAAGCTATGATGAATTTAGGAACTCAGAACTTGAGGAAAGAGAAAGAATGGATGCAACTGTGTCATCGTAAACGATTTTGAGTCATGTCATTTAAAGTCTCTAAACACCCGGACCCCAACCAGGTGGTCTACACCTACTAACATGGCTTAGTCCAGTTGTCAATGTCTTTACGGACTGGTGTCATGTTTTGGTTTGGTCACCACTAGCTTTCTTCCCGCCTACTTCTACACTGCATAACATCGCCCATTGAGGTAGGCAGTGGTTGGGCATATACAACACATATCCCAACCACCCCAGTTGATGAACATTTGTTACATCATCAATCGATAAGTAACTTAACTTTCACCGCGGGGTGACAAAATAGTATATTATAAACATATTCTAGAAGTGGCCAAATTAGCATATATATCAACGACAGATGAAGCTATTTATTGTTCAGCTGAACCGTATTGATAAATTTGAACACCCAGGTTTGAGACCGTATAATAATCATCATCAGTGATCGGAATCACTACATGACACATGGCTTAAGATCGGTGGTTCGACATTAATTTTGCTCTTACACTAGAATTTCATTATTTCATACTCTTCATGTCTTGCAATTTTATTCTCCCTGATCAAATAATAGTTTACAAGAACTTTTATTCATTTGTTATTGTTTTGGCATTATGAGTCTTGTTAAGGAAATGAAAGGAAATTATACTTTTTTAAAATTAAAGTTTATATATCATGAGACACACCTGCAAACTGAAGCAACAGGACCGAAAACCTCCTCTTCCATACATGCCATTTTCGTATGACAATTCGAAAGAACAGTTGCCGGATAAAAATAACCATTGGAGTAATCAAATCCAAATGAATTTTTACCCTTTAATCTACTATGACCACCAATTAATGCATGTGCACCATGTTCTACAGCTAGATTAACTAATTTTTCAATCTGGTAAAAACGATAAGATTGGAAATTATTACACTTTCATTAAATGTTCACAAATTTGAACATAAGTACTTGGAAAAACTTCTAAAAACATAAAATGTTATTGTCTCTGAACCAACTCCCTCCCACCTTAATCTATGTCAACTTAAGTCACCACAGTTCATATTACTGACATGATGAAAAGAAATCGGAAAATGGGAAAAATAATACGACAACGACAATAATAGATAATGATGAAAAATCTTTTTTTTTCTTAAATCTTTTCTTAAAGTAGCAAACGAATTAGGAAAAAAGATGGAAGAAATGTAAAATATGGGACCTTTGTAAGCTGGAGATGTTAGGGACGATGAACAATTAATAGAATACACATATATGATTTCTCTCCCACTTTCATCGTTATGCAGATTATTTATAATCCTTTGATATATGATCTCATAATTCTCAGTACTATTAAACTAGAGAACAATAAAGATATATCTTCTGTATTATCAAATGAAAGACATTTTCCTTTGCTAGTCATCTCATTTTTTGTACATGGGAAAAAGCAATGAAACAGCAAGAATTCGAACCTATGAACAAGCTGTAAAAAGAAATAAATTATGCAATTACTATGAAGTGATTTATTTTATAAAAAGAATATTATTGAAAGTCATTGCAGATAACAGTAAACGACTCTTTATGACCTTTAGGACATAATTGATGACTTCATACTGTATTATGATAACTTTATCGGTATACATCACGGAAAGAGGTCGTTTTTTACACTGACTATTACTACTGTGTATAAAGGTTCCTTTTTTGTCTATGACTGCAGACGCTGCATTTGAAAACGTGAACAATTCGGTTCTATCTCAGTGATTCAAGGGTGTTTTGCTCACCATGAGACCTGAAGGTTCAGTGTTTTATCTCATTTGGAGTTATGGGTGTGCACTGCTGCGAAATCCCACACTGATGAAACATCTGTTCATGACCAAAACATACTTGATTTGTAATGGTTCCCCACACTTGATTCAAATAAGCAGTCTGAAAGATTTGGTTGGCAAGCTAATTTGATTGCAAAATTAAATAGTAGTTGAAACACTAATCAGCAATAAGTGAGAACAATAGTAAGTTTACGATGTTCTAAAGAAAAATAAGGAGTACAGGTGAAGTATGCAGATGGTATTATGAAAAAGAAACTAAAGACTTAAAAATAAAACACGGAAATCCACTATACCTTAGTTAAAGCTTTTTCATTGATAACCGGACCTAAATTGATATTTGGATTAGCACCGTTACCCATGTGAAGACGAGAAACAGCCTCAGTTAGTTTGCTAACAAATAAGTCATGTATTTCATCATGAACAAAAATACGATTTGCTGATATACAAGTCTAGGAAATAGGAAATAGCAAAAAAAAACACCCTGATAATTTAAATCGGATGAAATATGATAATATCCTAATGACAAGTAGCTTACATTACAAAAACATCTAGATGGTAGAACAAACATCTGAATAACACTATTAATACATCAATCACACTAAAGTAATTCATAATATATATAACATGTAACAATGGTGTACAACAGTCCCTAAAAAATACATTGTGATTACTACAAGCAGAATGAAATAAAACCTAACTAACAGTAAAGTATCTGATAAAGTCTAGGTGATAGCAGTTGTAAAGCAATCAATTCACTGACTGATTTGCGTAGTCATCGTACGAAAAGTATATCGTTTCGGAACTTCTATTGGTAAATGATAGATATAATATTTACGGAGTGCTTGATTTCATGTATACACATGTATACCCAAACGCCTTGGTACGGCCGAGAGTGGGGAGAGTTCGCTCACCCTCTCGAAATGCCCTCACATGGCCACACGTACATAGCAACTGCCAGGGAATTCCTACTCACGGCCTTCTCGTGGCATTACTGTTGTTTACGGAATCGAGAGGACGAAAAGCGAATTTCCGGCGCTTTAATCGGGTTGGTGGACATCGAGAGTTCACCTAGGGGAGTTGGAAGACACTGATTCTAAATCAATGGTGCACATGGGCTCTGGTATCCTGGGGGAACAAATGGCGTATGAACCAATTGTTGGTCACCGGCTTCCATGGGACTGCATCTCCTTACGATGCTCCATTGCCATTGTGGATCAGACTTTTAGGTCGAAGGCTACGGGTTTGGCCGCCTAAGAAAACCACCTGCTTCGGTTTGGGCGCCGGGGCAGTACCACAGCCCTCGCATACATCAAATGAGATTTGTGTGGCGCATATGTATTTGGTGCCTTCTTGTACCGATATCTATGTGTTCAAATAAATAATAACAAAAAATTTTTTGTGTTGAACAGGTGCAATTTCAGTATATTCCATTATTTGTATATTCTTTATTCCGTATCTGAAAAGTATTCTTCACAACCCGATCATTTTTGCCTCTTAACGTGAATACAACATACTAAAGCTGTAACATGTAAGTCAAGTCACAGGTTATATATTTAATTATTACTTGTTAAACATTTTACAAAGAAATGGCGTTTATTGAAAAAGTGTTCAGGGATAATTCATCCTGGGAATGTCCTACTGTCATCACTTTTAAGTTTAAAGCAGATTCACAGAAAAATTAATAGTTGAACTGCTAATAAAAGTCACGAAGTACTAGACAACTGTTTCATCCCAATATAGGACACCCCAGTAGTGCGAGCGCATAATCCCACCAGGGGTCTAGCCCAGGACCTTCGGGTCTCAGGATAAACACTTAACAATTAGGACAGCTATGTCGGCATCTAGTAGTGCAATTCAAACCTTCAATGATAATGCAACTGAGATCAATCTGTAACGAACATAACCTATAAGTTAAATTAATCCAAATACGACCCTCTCAACTAAAATATATGATCATAAATTGTTCTTTAAAACTAGGAGATTTAAAAAATCCAACAAAACAACAAGTAAGAAGACGGAGATTATCAGAACTATGTGATATATTAGGGCAATACATTTCGAACAATTTGATGACACATATACTTGTTAAGAGCATTTATATATAAAAATAAAAGGTAAACTAGACTGGAAATGGGATACGAGAAGATAAGGATAATAATAATAAGAGTAATAATAATAATAATAATAACAATCTGAACACAATTCAAAACCTAATCACCCTGGATAATAAGTCAATATTACCAGGGTAGGTTTAAGGTAAGAACAAACTGTTTTTGAATACACAAAGGAGGTTTGAATTTTCGTATGGCTAAGGCTTCAAGAAACCTTAGTATACGCCCTTTTACGCTTTTATACAATACCACAAAAGCCGAGTTTAGATCAATCTTATTCCCTGTTTCAATTATATGTTTAGCAATAGAGGATGATGGATGTTTATCCTCTGCTCTTATTGGGTCACTTGATCGCATTTGTTTCTGCAGCCATTTGGGTACATGTTCACTCACCCTAATGTTGAGATCACGATTGCTCCTCCCTATGTGTGTGACGACACACGTATTTAAATTGGTAAATACAGTGGGATGTGACACAATCGTTTTCATGTTTTTTAGGTTTTGGATGAAACATGCACCTTGTTCTTTCTTTGACAATGACCTTTGCTGCGCAATACGTTTTATTGATGAGTGATTTAAGTCTTTGTTTCAATAACAGGCTATTTGAATCACCTGTGAAGTGTATGGTGATGTAGACAGGCTTTTATTCTACCGAGGCTACAGTAGGTCTCACTGTACCACGGACTTTCCATCTATTTATGAATTTCAGAGGGTAACCATTTTCTATTAATGTTTTGTTTAACAACTTAACATAATCATCAGTCGCGTCATTTGTACAAATACGATCAAGCCTGTTGAAAAGACACCTTATCAAACCACGTTTGTATTGCACAGGGCAATAAATATAATAACTAAGGTATTGACTTGTCCATGTTGGTTTTCTAAAAATGGATCGCTTGACTGAGCCATCTTCTCGTCTACTCAGAAGTATATCTAGGAAGGGGAGCTGATCGTTCTTCTCCTCTTCACATGAGAGACTGATATGGTTTTGGATTAGGTTTTCAATTGTGTTCAGATTATTATTATTATTATTACTCTTTATTATTATTATTTATTTATTTATTTATTTATTATTATTATTATTATTATTATTATTATTATCTCCTCTTACCCCATTTCCAGTCTAGTTTACCTTTTATTTTTATATATAAATGCTCTTAACAAGTATATGTGTGATCAGATTGTTCGAAATGTATTGCCCTAATATATCACATAGTTCTGATAATCTCCGTCTTCTTAGTAAACCATCAAAATTTATCAAAAGGACTAATTGCTTTAAAACTACAAGTGTTCTATTTCATAAAACATAATACAAACAGGTATCGAACGGACGAACTGGATTGAATACATAAAACTTAATTTCAGAAAGAAATAATAAAGGACATATGATGTACATTGTAGACTGTAAAACCAATACTCACTTGTCCAGAACAACGAAATTTACATCCTACTGCGCCAGTGACAGCTTTCTCAATATTCGCAGAATCAAAAACAATAAACGGAGCATTACCACCCATTTCCAAGAGAACACGTTTACCATAATTAGCGGCTTTGGCGTATATCATCTAGGAATAAATAGAGTTAAGAAAACAGTATGAAATTAACAACAGAACATAAAACAGAAACAATAACCAGACAAAATGAGAACAAAAAGCAACAACAACATCAAACATTTGTGTGAGAAGTACCCAGATGCATTGTGTAGTGATGAATTGAAGAACAGCATATCTTCTTTGATTTATCTATGATAGTTTTAGTGTTTGGTCCAATAGGTTGGACACCGTTGGATGCTGGCTTAGTGGTCTAGAGGCTAAGCGTTTGCGCTCGAGACCGACAGGTCCTGGATCTGAATCCTGAGAGCAGGCTTGTGAATGCGCACTGCTGAGGAGTCCCATACTAGAATGAAACGACCACCCAGTGCTTCCAGGTTTTCCATGGTGGTCTGGCTTTAATTGACTTATGATTTCAACTTTTAAATTACCAAAAATCTCTACAAAACCTCCCCTCTAATTTTATTGAATGAATTTATTCCGAGTGAATTATGTTCATGAACTTTCAACTGTATTATTTCATTCCGTATCGAATTAGTTATTGGATTTTTAATGCATTTTTCCTTGTGCCAATTAATTCACCGTGATTTTGCGTTACGATAACTAGTCGGTTGATAAAGTTTTGTGATTAATAATTATTATGTATTTAAAAATACAAAATGAGTAGAGAAATATTTCTTCTCAATTTAATTCTTTATGAAGGCTGTACACCAATTGAAGCCCATTTAACGGTGTAATGATCAGTTAATAACAAAGTTTGGAAAATTAAAACTAAAGCCGAAATTTCATGAGCCATTAATTATCAGAACAAGTAACATAAGAGTAAGAATAAAAATGGAAATTAAATGTAAATATAAATGTGTTTGTTATCTGTGATGCTAGGAATAAGTAATCAGAATAATAGGTAATAAGATTATTAGACAGGTTACATAAGACTTGAATTGGAAATTAAAATATGAAAGAGTCGAAGTTTGTAAAATTTTTATCAAATTAACCAATGTGAAATTTTTTGCCAATAAAAGTTAGTAGTATTGAATTACGACACAAACAGTTTATTATTTGTGCTGGATAATGAGAGAAGCTATGGTGATATTTTCTACCTCACTGAATAAATGAAGTGGTAATTGATAGGAAATGAGTAGTGAAATATAATAAACTCAATAGGAAGTATAGAAATGTATATTTCACCGAGTAAGTTTACAGACAGTGATATATGAGGCGCGACAAAAGAATGGCCCCCAAATACCCTAGTACAACCAAGGGTGGGGAGAGTCCCCTCTCCCTCTCGAAATTCTCTTGCATGGCCACGTACATACAACCACTGTCAGGGAATCCCTACTGACTGAGCAAGGGTGTTGTTTACGGAATTGAGAGGACGAAAAGCGAACGTCTGGTGCTTTGATGAGGTTGGTGGACATCGAGAGTCCACCTAGGGGAGTTGGAAGACCCTGATTCTAAACCAATGGTGCACATGGGCTCCAGGATCCTGAGAGAACCAATGGCGTATTAACCTATTATTGGTCACCGGCTATCATGGAACTGCATCTCTTAACGTTGCTCCACTGCCCTATAGATCAGACCTTTAGGTCGAAGGCTCCAGTTGTGGCCTCCTGAGAAAACCACCTGCCTCGGTTTGGGTACCCGGACAGTATCACATCCCATACACAAATCAACTGATGATTACTACTGGAAATATTATTCTTGCTTTAATTAGCATTCAGACAAATCACAGTGACAATCATTTGATAACATTCATTTTTGTTTTCTATATACAACGTCATTTATCTACTCTCTTCTATTCTCACTTTATGTTTTCTTGTTTTTCAAATTATACGGCAGCTCATCTATGGTGGAAACCCTCTTTTGTGTGGCGCATATGTATTTGGTGCCTCTTTGTACCACTATTTATGTGTTCAAATAAATAAAAGAATGGTAGTAGTAGTAGTAGTAGTAGTAGTAGGCTGTAAAACAGCTAGGAGGGGTCAAACCAACACACGGCAATAGTCTATGAAGTTATTGACCGTTGGACTGAGGCATATAGATGGGTGCAGATTATCTGATTGGGGTCCGTGTGACTATCGTAACCGATTGTTATAGACTGGGTAACGACTTGAAATCGTCCGCAGTAGTGCAGGTGCATTAACTCTTCATGTTTCCTTAGTTTTTGAAACCCACTGTTTTGTTTCCCGTTTTTCAATACATAATCTTTTCTACTAATACTGATACCGCCGCTATTTCTGTTACTCTGCGATTTGACCTAATAATTTTATTTCACTGAAATAATGTAGTATAGCCATTTGAACCGACCCATGTATGTGTCAGATTCTACGTTGCATACGACTGAGTGATTATAAAGTAAGACATTTTCAAAATAAATTAAGAGTAGAATGATTATAATAGCAAAATGATGATGTATTTAAAATATCCCAACGAGAGAAAAATTGAATTCCTATCGTTACGCAACTTAGTGAAAGTGTATTAAAATACTATTTTATTAATACAAAATATTTTTATGCATACTGATCACAGGAATCCCAAAATAATAATTAGACATACCGTTCCCACTTCTGTAGACCCAGTAAATCCAATTAAACGAACAACGGGATGAGTACACAATACATTTCCAATTTCTTCTGCTCCATTGTCATCAACTGCAGCTGTGATTACATTCAAAACACCTGGAGGTATTCCTGCTTTTTCAATACCAAGATAAGTAATAGCCAATGATGTTAATGGAGTATCTTCAGCTGGTTTAATAATTACAGAGCATCCTGAAGCCAAAGCAGCACCAACTTTTCGTGTTACCATAGAAAGTGGAAAATTCCACTAAGTTTAAGTATATGAAAATACATTAACATTTTCAACTTGTTAATAAACATAAAAATCACTATGAATCATTTTCCTTTTATAGTAAGTTAATTATGAAGTGATTTTTCTAAATATTTACTTGCTTTGAGTGTAGCACAGCTCTTTCCTTTTTTCCAAACATATAAGAACATTTCACCATGTGAGTAAGCGAAATCATTGAAAATATCGAGAGAATAATTTATGATAAAACTCAGTTTATAATAAACAATCGATTTCAAGACATTAAAATTAGCTGTAACTTGTAGATGAAAAAATGTCAATATCTCATAGTAAAAAAAGAAAAGGCAGAAAGTATGAGTAACTGCCAATTACCGGATGTGATAAATAAATCCTGTAAATAACTGTACCAACGAACACATGGATAAATAATTCACTTGACTCAATTGTTTTGTTCAATGACTACATTCAACTGATTTTCGGACTTCTAAGTAGATCCGGCGTTTTACGGCCTCCTAATATTAGGTGAGATTATTTTAAATATAATAACTCTACATGTTTTACACAAGTTTCATATAAAAATGTGAATAACAACGTGTTATTATTCATTCACATAAACAACTAAGATTAGGGGGGGGTAAATCAATACAACAAAAAGGAAACATGATCTAATTACCGGAGTAATTACACCAACAACACCAATTGGTTGTTGAGCAATTAGCTGACGCCGTGAATGAGAGCTTAGTGATGGAATATAAAGACCAAAAACACGTTTAGCTTCCTCAGCATACCATTCCAAAGCGGAAACACCTGATAGAACTTCATTACGTGCATCGAATGACGATTTTCCCTGAAAAATAAAAATAATACAATTTATTGATTTTATAGTCAACACCATGGACTGAAGTTAGTTAAACAACCATTGGGAACTAGAAAGCACTGGAAAGTTGCTTCATCTTAGTATAGAACTGAGTGATAAGCACGTACGGCCTCACCATGGACAGAGTTAAGGACATTTATATCCCACGGCAATCAACTAAACCGCAAAATCACCGTGAAACCTGAAGGCTCTGGGTCTGACAATTAGTGGAGTTGTGGATGTGCAGTACCGAGGAGCCGAATACTAGGATAAAACAGATGTCAACCGCTTCCTGGATCTCAATTAAAATTAGATGCTGACCATAAAACTTAACAACCTCGGCAAACTTCCCATACAATTCGTTCCTCACCAAAAACCTAAAGGTCATGAATTTAGACCCCCACTAAAGATCGTTTATCAAGTACTGGTGAGGGGTAGCGAATAATGACGAAATAGCTGATCACTAGCAACATGATATCTAATGGCTTTCCAGTTGATAGTTGTGCATGATAAAAACTGCATTCAAACTAGACAAAAAACTAGTTATCTAACTAAAGAAACGTCATGACTTTATAAATTTTAAAATTCTGGATATATATATATATATATATAATTTAACAGTAAACGTAGTAGTAAATCATAACCATGGAGAGAAGGAACAAATTCTCAGTATTAATGTGTCTAAAAATGTATAAATATACATAACAGAATATCTCACATTTTCAGCTACAATAAGATCCGTCAATGAGTCAACATTCTGTCGAATGGTATCTGCCCATTTACGTAAAACTGACGATCGTTCTCCCGGCGTTTTCAATTTCCATTCTTTTTGACTGACTGAAGCTACATTGACGCTAATTTCACATTCATTCTTTGAACAAGCTGGGACTGAACCTAAATGTTCACCTGTAGCCGGATTCACAACTATAATAAATAAATATTTACAAATACATATAACTAGGTAAGATGACGGATGAGAACAGTACTCTATTTACAAGAATGTTCCAAAGGTTATGCCAACTTTAATTAATCTGATACTATGGTTTAACCTACAGAACTTACTTTCGAATACTCTTCTGAACAACTTTAGTTGAAGGTTATTATTTACAGGATTTCATGAGTTATTTCTAACAATCGCCTAATCAACTTTAATGTGTCCGAAGTGAGAAATGATTAGTTATCTATTGAGAATTGCTGACCGCTAACTAATGAAAGCTATAACCACAAAGAATAATTATATTCAAGAGTTCATATCCCTAAGGGCTATAAAGAAAAAAAAACACAAATCGACTGAATTTAGATTGTGAAACAGGTAAAATAATTGGCCGAATACCAATTAGCAAAAGAATAACTGAGCTCTTAGAAGCTTAGATTGTGTTACACTAAGTAAAAGCTTAATATTAGTATTCTGTAGATTATACAACACCCATCCCCCTCCCCACAGAACAATATCATTATAAATACAGGCAAAAACGATGGAAATAAAAATAAAATCAGCTAACAAAAGTATTGTAACACAGTGAAAGTCAATATAGCTCAATATTCGAAACTATTACTAATTAACTTAGTTGAAGGGGTTTTATGGAAATTGACTGTTTTTAGGTTGTATTAGTCTAAGATGTACATCCTCAGTTGAAGTATTATTGAAAACTTAATGAACACTGGATAACTATTTTGTCCTAATATGGGACACTTCAACAGTGTGCGCCAACAACCCCACCAGGGGTCAAGACAAACACCTCCAGATCTCGTAGCGAGAGCTTAACTGATAGAAATACTAAATTGGAGTGCAGTTGTATAACATCAATCCCAATTGATTTGTGATGTAGCACAACGTTTGTTTTATCTCACTGTTTCACTAATAACATGTCTGAACTGAACCAGTTGCGACTCACTACCTCAATGATGTTCCAACTGAGATCAATCCTTGACGAACACAATCTACTAATTAATACAATTCAATTTCCCCCAGAATTTAAGTGAAAGATATTATACTCGGCTCTAAGTTGCATTTCTGTTGATGAAAGTTGATATAAATCCAATAAGTGGAGTGAGAAACGAACATCCAACCTAATGATTGGAAGGATAGTGTCCTAACCAATAAGGAACGGATTAACTTTTATACGTTACAATTTACACTGCTGGATATCTTTGACCACTAACATGCCATACAATACAGAGTGAATACGCTAAAACGAACAGCCAATTCAGCCGCTGTTAGTTACAATTCTCTGATTTTGTAATTAAACACAAATCTTGCTAGCCGTTCGTTCAAACACTACTAAATATTAGTCCATAACTGAGGTTCTAATACTAGACTGATTTCAAGTTTTTTATCTAAAAGAATTTTGTTGAGTGAGAATAAAATCTTATGAGACATTATAATATTACGGTGGCCTAGAGGAATAACTTCTAAAGATCAACCCTAGAAAAGTAATGTACCAAGACAAGAGTGTGTAGTCCGGGATGATAGATAAGCACAATTTCAACGAAAATTTGAATTTTATTTGAGGAAATCCACAAAAAGTAAACAAACCCGAAAACGTTTTTCCAGACAAGGAAGGTTCCCATTTCCCCGAATAGAATGCTTTGTTTTCTGGAACTAACTGACCCCAGGATGATCCCATCCGACTGCATGATAAACTTAGTTTTACACCGAGAGTATGTAATACATTTGATCTCGCGAGCCCCCATTTTCGCACACACTAACACAAACAAAAAATAAAATTACATTTCGTTACATAGACATTGAAACTGAATAACAAACTGCAGATACATATACTGGATTCTTAGTCGTGTTTTTGCATGAGGACACGTGATACTACTTGGTTACTGAAACTGAAGCAGTCGAAATGTGGTTCGAGTCCATCGCCCAGTTCTTTCAAATACCGATACCATTAACTTATCGACAGAAATTGCAACGATGTGATTAAAGCACAAGATTTTCGACTACTAGGAGTAATGCTTAAGCTTTACTCCACCAACTATGACTTGGGAAGTTGAGCAATACTACTAAACCGGACAGGAAACGTGTAGCTCAGTAAGATACATAAATTCGCACTTAATCATTAGATCGTATTACATTACATCAATCCATTTTATTGCTGTTCATGAACCATACGTCAACAGGAAACCCTGTTGACTACCTCCAACCACCATCTTAGGCTGAATAACTGAAACTGATTGCAACTGCAGCAATGTAGTGCAGAACTTTTACACTTTATTGTCAGGACTACGGCAACAGACCACTAAGCATTAACGTCGTATGGATACAATCTTCTAACGTACACAGCTAACCAAACACTATGAGATTTAAGAAAATTATCTCTGGAATTTTGGCTGCATCATAATACAGAAATGAAATAAAATGAATTTTCCGTCTTTTTACCCTACAATAACTAAACTTAGTTTTTGTTACACGAGATTTAGTTAGAGTACCGTATGTGATGTCAGCCCTACTAAGCACAAGTACCAGTTGGATTTATTAGCGAAATGACAGTAGGTGAAAAAGGGATCAATAGGATGTGAGTAAAGACGGTTATTTATGATAATCAAAGTGGATGCCTCGATACTAAGCATTTACGGACTGTTACGGAGAAAGATAAATACTTAATTTAAGGCACCAAGTATCCTCAAACAGCCTAAATGAGATATTAAATAACTCAAGTGCGAACTAAACTACCTAATTTATATAGGTGTCGTTACCAAGGTTTAACTTGATAATTCTGAATGAATCGAGCATTGGGTATTGTTAAAAATAAAAGTAATATATTTGTAATATCTCAATGAGTAGAAAAATTAGTTTTTTTCAATTTTTTGATGTTTCGTTACTCAATGTAAGCCACTTCTTCGGAGGATAAATAAACACATTAAATTAACCCGTTTGAATAGTACAAAGTAACAAAGCAAGAATATTTGGTGCGACCAATCAAAAACAGGTCTGACCAAGTCAGTGATGTCATTCCGGTCAAGGTGATTTATATGAGGCATGACTATATATTTGTGTGTATGGTAAAGGACGAAAAAAGTGTGACCTTCGTGGTGCGAAATGATGGAGTTGAAATTGTATACACGATAAAGGTTCGAGATGTGAATAGAACCAGATAGAAACCCTTTGGTAACTGCTGCGTTGCGATGCGTAGTTGTTAACAAGTTGTGACTTACTATTACCTGAAAGTCTGTCCCTGCACGTATGGAAGAGACGCACCGTATATAGTATACTAATAAATGTTACCGTATCCGGTGTGTATGAGTACACTTTCTGGGTTTAATTTATAAGCCCCAACACTGTGATCAACTATTTGTCTAGGTCAAATTGACGATTGAAATGATCAGCCTCAATTCTTATTGTTCTTAAGATTTTGATACCATCTGCAAAAAATACTGTCGACGACTTAAGCAATCGCAGTAATTCGTAGATGTAAAGAAAAAGTAGGAGACCTAAGACGGCCCCTTGGGCTATGCCACTTTTAACCAGCTTCTATTCAGTGTCCCATTTACTCTCACTGTCACCGGACACATAGGAAGTTCCTTATCCATTCCTGTCAACACCTGATATTCCGAAGCTCGAGAACTTCTGCATAAGACCTAAGCCAGAAACCTTATAAAATGATTTGCTAAAGTCTATGAATATTACATCGACATACAGACCATTATCTAGGATTGCTGTCAAATTTTATCTCGCAATAAGTTGGTCAAACATAAATGCTTGTTTCGAAAGGCGTGTTCTGGATCAACCAATAATAAAGTGGAAAGCGCGCCAAAATGTCGCCTTTTTCGCCTGTCCAGGAGAAATAATGCGGATTTCCCGCTTTCCTTCTCTTTGTCGATAAATTGTCTACTTTTCGCCTAAATACACACAGAACTGCCTATTTTTGATCCAACTTTTAAAACACCATTGGCATAACCTCAAAGGTCTCCTATGTTCGCCTTTATCCCAACAACAAACCACACCAAAACTGCAATCCACGGGAAAAACGGTATATATTTAAATAATTTTATTTAAAAGGAAAAGCGTATTATTGTACAACATTATAGCAGAAGCTTGAGCATCAATCGTTTTGCATTTCCATTGTAATTGCCAATTGTTATTTGAAAAGATCTGCAAAAGAAGAAACAGGTGATGTATTATTTATAACGTATGTGCATTTAATCGCAAGTTCACTGACAACCATCTTAACAGATTGGTTTTTAATCCGGGGTGGTAGTAAGATATGTTGGACTTTGGTTGCGAAATTTCGAATTTGATACTTTAGATTTTTATATTAATGTCGATGGACTTTCTTTGTCTAGGATCTCTAATCAACATTTATGGCCTATATTAGGACGGATCGTTGCCCCAAAGTTAAGTGACGTGTTCATGATAGGGATCTACGGAGGGAATAGTAAACCGGCCGGATTCAACGAATTTTCTGCTGACACAATTTCTGAAATAAAAGAAATGACTGATGTGGGTCTGTTTAGCACTAAGTTTCATAAATACATATCTATTAGGTTGTCCACTGTAATATGTGACGCACCTGCTCGTTCTTCTGTTAGGTACACGGTTAGTCACAATGGTAAGGCAGGTTGCGACCGGTGTGCTGTACTTGGGAGACGGCTTGAGGGAAAAACGACCTTTCCAAACGGTGAATATACGTTAAGAACGGACGACAGCTTTTGTCGTCAGATTCAATCTATTCACCATTAAGGCCATTCAATTATGGAAACGCTTTCAATTAATATGATCTCAACTTTACCTCTAGATCCTATGCACATGGTGTACCTAGGTGTCCCCAAAAAGCTAGCTAATCTCTGGATAGAATTCTCACATAAAAGATTGCTTAACTTGAACTCATGTGCAATTAGGAACATAAATAATTTAATATCTGGTTGCGTGGCAAGTACTCCGTCCGACTTTCAGCGTAAATGCCGCACACTAGACTTCGTATCGGTATGGAAAGCTTCGGAATGTAGGTTGCTCCTTCTATATTTAGGCCCAGTGATTCTGCAAAAAACATTGCCGCAACCTTTGTATCTTAATTTCCGGCGTTTAGCGTTATCCATTTATCTGCTTGCACACCCTAAATTACATAATACCGTCGTAGAATCCGTCAGAATGGACTTACGAAACTTTCTTAACGAATACGAATGGTGTTATGGGTCTGGAAACTTAGTTTACAATGTGCATTTGTTACAGCACCTTCTTGACGACGTTCGTGCACATGGACCTTTAGATAGTTTTTCAGCCTTTCCATTCGAGTCTTACATGAGACAAATAAAGAAATCTGTACATAGCGGGTATGCTGTTGCTAAGCAAGCAGCTCAGCGTTATGCTGAGAAAATGTCCTTCTGCGATAGACTTCAGGTTACCTGTTTAAGTAATTCTACCCCAATAGCTGCTAAGGAGGCCTCCGATAAACAAGAAATTATGTTTAAGAATAGTAAAATAACTTCATTTAAGCCTGATAAAGTTGTAGTAGTAAACGGATAGCCTGGTTTAGTTACTGACATATGGGAGGATGAACTACTGAAATTTAGGTCTTTCAGTGAACCACGCAATTACTTCGAAGATCCTTTACCATCCAGTGATATAGAAATATTTATGTGCTCCGTAGTTAGCCATGAACACACATGGGTATCGATTAAGGACATTGACTGTAAATGTATAGCCATTAATTGTATCAATTATTTAGTTATAGTTCCATTGTTGCATACTTTAATGTGAATGCATTTTGTTATATTTGTGCTTAATTCATGATCATTTTATCACCTCTTATGTTTAGCCCGCTAACAAACAATACGTCATTGTTGACGCTCCTAGCAAGAAACAACTTATGATAGCAGCCAAGCAGTGGATTGTTGGCAAATAACTTTGCCTTTTTCCAACAGCTGGTCGACATCTACCTGCAAAACTGCGAACGACCAGATGACAATTGGTCAGTTCTCAAATGTAAAGTCATTTACGAAATCGGTGAGTGAAATACATATAAACTATAATTTACTATAGATTCTCTGCAGTCTGCAAAGGACATGTTAATTTCCCTCTAAATACTGGAACTTCACCGCAAAAACACTCCAACGGAGGAAAACATCTTGCCACTGAACAATGAGAAATCGAAAAGGTCTGTACAATAATCTTACAAACATTTCCTAGAGGTGCATTGAAGCGTAAAGAAGGATTTCTTTACTATTCAGTAGACGTGGATGTGGCCGAGATGCAGGCTGGAAATAGCCACGTACAATATCCGAAATTTTGGTTATTTGACAGAGTCGTCTAGCCAATTGCGAATTACGTTCCATTACTATCTACATGTTAATGAAAAAGACCTTGCGAAGCTGTACGACATCGCGACAGAAGGCTATTTTCATGATGTCAGAGACAAACTGATAAAGCGTTATCGGAGGAAACAAGAGCAGGTATGTACTAATTTAAAGTGATAACTTCCCTACTGCTCTATAGTTACAGTCAACAGTCTTAACGAACATAACCGTAAGTTTAGCTTAAAGTATTTGGCTGTGCCAAAGTATGTTATTCAGATATCGTTGTGACTTCTTTTGTTCTTTACACTTCAGAATTCACAGGAAGACTATTTTCATTCTCAATAGCTGAACATACGTGGCTAAAGGAAGTAGTCCGTGCGATGTTTATTACGTTCTACTTAATTTTTAATAAACATTATTTTGTAAAAGAGTTTACTTTATTACTTACATGGGGAACTATTGAAGTGTTGAGAAAGTGTGTTTGGTTGTCAGTGAACTTGCGATTAAATGCACATACGTTATAAATAATACATCACCTGTTTCTTCTTTTGCAGATCTTTTCAAATAACAATTGGCAATTACAATGGAAATGCAAAACGATTGATGCTCAAGCTTCTGCTATAATGTTGTACAATAATACGCTTTTCCTTTTAAATAAAATTATTTAAATATATACCGTTTTTCCCGTGGATTGCAGTTTTGGTGTGGTTTGTTGTTGGGATAAAGGCGAACATAGGAGACCTTTGAGGTTATGCCAATGGTGTTTTAAAAGTTGGATCAAAAATAGGCAGTTCTGTGTGTATTTAGGCGAAAAGTAGACAATTTATCGACAAAGAGAAGGAAAGCGGGAAATCCGCATTATTTCTCCTGGACAGGCGAAAAAGGCGACATTTTGGCGGGTTTCCCCCTGTATTTTCCAACGCATTCCCCCCTTTTATTTCCCTTTTTCGCCTTTATTGGTTGACTTGGGGTTGTAGGTTAGTTGCCTGCAACAATAGGCATATATACTTTGCTACAGGAGATAATTATCTACAAACAACTCGTATGAATGGCAAGAATCTACCTGACCTATCACAACCTTACCTTAGTACCACACCATCTAAAAGTCATTAAACTCGGAGAATTCGCAGGGTCACGCGTAAGATCAAATCAGTCACTGTTGATCTCAAGGTCTTAAATGGTTCGAATGGTTGTGGACGGAATAGGAGAAGCTTTCTCTCAACGGGCTTCCGAGTCTAGTAGCAGTGGATCACCAATACTTTCAGGCAGGAACCCAGGTATATTAACGATAATAGAGAAAAAAAGAAATTGATAAATCATAGTAAGGTATTATCCTTAGTCCTTAAGAATCAGTTTCAGTTTCAGTTTGGAAAGGACAGGAGGCTTGATGGCCTGTGTTAGTCCTGGCAGTTGTGTTCTCTCAGTTGATCCAACTTTCTTTTGAAAGAATCTACGGATGGAGCTTCAACCACGTGTTGAGTTAATGAATTCCACTCGTTGATGAATCGGTGGGAAAGTCGATAATCAGCTGACAAGTAATTTGCTCTGGGCTTGTGAACTTTTTTGGAGTGTCCTCGTAAATTCTCTGTTTTGGAAGACAGGAAAAATGAGGGCATATCAGGTGCAAATTTATCACTAAGCAATTTGAAAACTGTAATCAAGTCGCTTCTAGTTCTACGATATGACAAGGGAATAGGTTTAGTTTGGCCAGTCGAGCATCATACGGAAGCTTCGCTATTCCGGGAATCAGCTTAGTTGCTGTTCTCTGAACCTTTTCCAAAAGCCCACAGTCTTTTTTTAAGCAGGGGCTAGCCGCTTGTATGCAGTACTCAAGTTTAGGACGTAGGAACACTGTATACAAAGTCAAAAACGTTTGAGCGTCGACATGAGTAAAAGCCCTACGTATTGACCATAAAGTTCTAAAAGCTTTGGCGGCTATTGCACGGCAGTGTGCAGTAGTCTTCAGATCTCAGCTAACGATGACTCATGAGTCTGTGTGTGTCTGGACAACAGGTAGCTCAGTGTTATTCATCGTGTATGTAACAGAACCTTGATGAATGATATGCATCACAACACACTTGGAAGCATTTATCGGCAGCTGCCAGGTATGAGACCATTCGGATAATTTCTTCAGGTCATTTTGGAGTTCTAAGCTATCACGCTTACATCGTATCGTTCTTCATATCTTGACATCGTCAGCATATAGCAAGACCGATGATGATAGTAAGCGAGGAAGGTCATTTACACACAAGAGGAATAGCACTGGCCCCAAACAAGAGGACTAGCACTGGCCAAGTTTCCTCTTAAAAAACACCTGAGAGGTTGCTTGGACTAGCTCAGCAAACAGCGAACTCCAGCATTTGACCACCCTTGAAGAGTAGAAGTTGTGTCTACAGTCCGTTCTGCTATGTTGTGTCTCTAATTTCTGGGTGTTACCCCTTAGGTTAGTATTTGGGACTAAGCTTAAGTAGGTGTTTAAGAGGATGTCCAGAAGTGTTAAGGATACTGTAAGCCATCAGAAGGTCATCTATAAGACGCCCACACTCTAATAGGTAAAGGTTAACTGATTAGAAGCACTCGTCATAAGGTTTGAATTTGAATCCCCGAACTGATTTCGTGGCACGCCATTCAATACGCCACCGAGTGTCCTTATCCTTTTAGAATAAAGGAGAAAATACTATGTTTCCATACTCTAAATGGAGACGAACAAAACTATTGAACATCATGTGGAAAGTTCTTCCTTCAAACTGGCCAAAAATGGGCATCAATGTTACCAGTGCAAGGTTTGCTAGAAAGGCGTTTTTGTCACAACGTAAGACTTCAAATTGTAGGGTACCAACACTCATAACTCTCTTTCAACTTGAGATACATATAGAGAGGAGTTTCCTATGTTGTAACTGTAGTCTGCAACATGTCTCAGATGAACTACTTTACTTTTTGAAGTGTTAAAGGTAAGTTCGTTGTCATCTGCTCAAATTTGAAGTTCAGTTAGATCATCCTGAAGTGCCAGTATATCCTCTTGGTTGCGTATCTCTCTGCAAAGTTTCACGTCATTGGCAAAAAGTAATGAGTCAGATGACATCTGTTGTGGAAGATCGTTTGTATAAATCAGAATAGAAGAGGTTCTATTAGTGAGCCCTTGGGGGCCCCACTAGGACATTTCACTGCCTGAGATAAAGTGAAGTTAACCCTGACCTTGAAATGACAATTTTTTATGTGTGCAGTGTGGCGATCAGTTAGAGGTGATTTGATTCCCAATCGTCTGAGCTTATTGATAAGACATATATGTTTGAACCAATCAAAAGCTTTTGAGAAGTCAAGGTAAATTATATCAACCTTCCCATTGCGATCAAGGATGGTTGTCCATCTTTCCACTGCGGTCAACAGGTTGGATATACAGGAATGCTCCTTCCTGAAACCATGCTGTTGGAGTGATATGATAATTAGAGGTATTTGAATTATAGTATGAACTAAGAATCCCAGGGATAACGCAATTGAATCAAGAAGTACTACACAAGCACTAACGAATGTACTGTATTTAGAATTCGAAATCAAACATTCAACAAGTACAAAGGAGTCATTAGTTCATTCAAACACCACATCCGCCACAGCTTAAATTAGAGTCTAAGTGTCTGTAATTAATTGTACGTCTTCTCCTCAAGTTCATGCTGTGTCTGTCCGACAATGTATTGGATAAAGACTCTGTATTATCTAAAATGCACTCATTAGTATTAGAATTAACAACTGAAATCGGAACAGACTCACTTGATTTCTGGGATTGTGAACAATCACCATGCCGGTTGAATACTGGAACTACTACCTAGGATATGAACCATAGACTATCCTCCCCCACGAAATAATGTCGGATCTTCATATCCCTAAGTTATGAATGTGGCTTCATTTAAAACATCTTTCTCAATTTGACTAGAGTAAACATTGGAAGTGAATTTATGATAAGGACAAACAATGATTGGTATAGAATCATCTGAATTGTAATCAGACTCTAACTCATTTAATACTCGTGCTTCGCACTGAACAAGTTTCTCACAAGAAACAAATGCGTCATGAGGACAAATAATATTTGACATCAAGATTCGATTCTTCTGAAATGGTTTCCTCAAATTTATTAAGAATGTCATTGCAGAGTAAAGGATCATTAGAAAAATCAGCATCAATCAAAACTACATCATATTTTCGATCATGATTAGGTTCATCCGAAATATTCTCATCAGATTTGTAAGAAATTTCATCAGAAATATGTGAATCATTAGGAAAAATCATATCTGGTACAATAACATGAGAAATCGGATATGTTGATTTATTAGAAATTGTTTTCTCGCAAGGATTCTGAGTTTCATTTGACCCTGAACTGCTATATGACTCTAAACTGTCTTTTGAAATCGTCGATAAAGAGAAATGATCATTATAAATGTTCAGATTAATAGAATCAGAATCACAAGACTTAATATTAGTTGCAGCAAGATGAACAGTAGTATTACAAACTGACTGAATGTGTCCGACATCACCACATTTAAAGCACTTACAATTACGAAATTTACATGAATTAAAAGGGTGGAACTTGCCACAAGAAAAACATTGACTAAACTTGTGCCCATCTTCGTGAACTGCACAACCTTGAGTATGCACTGGGATGGGGTGATGTAATGTAGTGGAATTTTTCATATCATCATGAATCATTTTACGAATTCGCCCTTTACTGCATTCAAAATTTGTATACTTTGCATAGTCTAGAAGTAATTCCTTGAGAGTTGTATAAGGAAGAGAAATAGGCTTTTCCGGTGAAGCCAAAATTTTTAATAAGCCATATGCTTCTTTTCCAATGAATGTGAGAAAATGTGCCACAATATTAATATCCTCATCATCTTTCTTGGTCATGCTCCAGATTTCAAACCTTTCCAAATAGTCTTCAAAAGCTTCAGAAGTTGAATGGATATCTAACTGTTCCATCGCAGGCTCCATCGCGATGCCAATATGATAATTAGAAGTATTTGAATTATAGTATGAACTAAGAATCCCAGGGATAACGCAATTGAATCAAGAAGTACTACACAAGCACTAACGAATGTACTGTATTTAGAATTCGAAATCAAACATTCAACAAGTACAAAGGAGTCATTAGTTCATTCAAACACCACATCCGCCACAGCTTAAATTAGAGTCTAAGTGTCTGTAATTAATTGTACGTCTTCTCCTCAAGTTCATGCTGTGTCTGTCCGACAATGTATTGGATAAAGACTCTGTATTATCTAAAATGCACTCATTAGTATTAGAATTAACAACTGAAATCGGAACAGACTCACTTGATTTCTGGGATTGTGAACAATCACCATGCCGGTTGAATACTGGAACTACTACCTAGGATATGAACCATAGACTATCCTCCCCCACGAAATAATGTCGGATCTTCATATCCCTAAGTTATGAATGTGGCTTCATTTAAAACATCTTTCTCAATTTGACTAGAGTAAACATTGGAAGTGAATTTATGATAAGGACAAACAATGATTGGTATGGAATCATCTGAATTGTAATCAGACTCTAACTCATTTAATACTCGTGCTTCGCACTGAACAAGTTTCTCACAAGAAACAAATGCGTCATGAGGACAAATAATATTTGACATCAAGATTCGATTCTTCTGAAATGGTTTCCTCAAATTTATTAAGAATGTCATTGCAGAGTAAAGGATCATTAGAAAAATCAGCATCAATCAAAACTACATCATATTTTCGATCATGATTAGGTTCATCCGAAATATTCTCATCAGATTTGTAAGAAATTTCATCAGAAATATGTGAATCATTAGGAAAAATCATATCTGGTACAATAACATGAGAAATCGGATATGTTGATTTATTAGAAATTGTTTTCTCGCAAGGATTCTGAGTTTCATTTGACCCTGAACTGCTATATGACTCTAAACTGTCTTTTGAAATCGTCGATAAAGAGAAATGATCATTATAAATGTTCAGATTAATAGAATCAGAATCACAAGACTTAATATTAGTTGCAGCAAGATGAACAGTAGTATTACAAACTGACTGAATGTGTCCGACATCACCACATTTAAAGCACTTACAATTACGAAATTTACATGAATTAAAAGGGTGGAACTTGCCACAAGAAAAACAT